CTATTAAAAAAAAAAAAGTCCTAAAGTGCATATCTTACTTACAGAAAGAATGAGGTTTAAAAGGATAATTAACAGAAATTGACACAGCTGGCTTCCAGCAAGTTTCAATTGCAAAGATCATATAAATTGATTTATAATGTTCCCATGTGACTAATGAAAGTAGATTGGTGACCATATTGTTCCAAATGATTGCATTAGAGAACATTATTACTTTAGAGAAGCCCACATTAATAATAAAATCATTATCACCAAGGAATAAATAAAATAATACTTTTCAGAACAACGTGTTGGATTCTAACACTCATACTTTATTATTAACCATCTTTCAAAATGATTAAAAAGAACACTCCAAAGAAGCATCAGTTCCGTTCATTTTATTTTTCCCTTGGAAGACAGGGGGATTCAAAACCTTCCTGATGTCAGCACTTAGAAAGGTTAATTATTCATACAGAACAATGAAGAGGAAGCACTAGATTTAATTGGACACATGCTTCTCACATTTAAAGATAGGGGAGTAGATAATGATGTCCCTTTTGTGTCCTTCCAGAAGAAATATGGGGAACCGATAATGCCTCACACAAGTCTTCAAGGAAGAAAATGTAGAGCATGCGTTTTCGTAGATCACTCACTCATTAAGGAAAAAACTCAGAAGAAATGTAGTCTCAGTAAGAGCTTAGATAGGATCAAATTTAAATATCTTACTTTGGAAACAAGTAAATTTGACATCACTAGCCTCTGGAGACTAGTAGGAGATTCTGACATATAAAGTTTTATCTAAGTATAGGGACTTTCTGATCAAGGAAATAGTTAAAAGGAATGAACAAACAAAAAATTGGACCACAGAGCATTCCATCAACGAATTCTGGTGAAAGCTTATATGGAAATGGTGACAGTAATATTCTTTTGCTCAAAGTAAATAAACTACACTGTAAACTGCATGAAGTGAGAGAAACTAAATCTTTTTATCTCTGTATCCCCAGTGCCTAGTATAATATCTAGCACGTAGTAAGTAGGCAGGGATTAACTATACGTTAAAAAAATGAACTTTGGAAAGGTCAATGCTAGGACATGTACTGACAAGAAATAGTAAGTATTCTTAGAGCAAAAACCATTCATTCACCAATTTTTTTTAATGCAAATCCCTTTTTGTCTTATTAGATGCAGAAAAAAGTCTAGATCATGAAGTGATTTGCATTCCACTTGCCCCCTTCCAGACATTATCCACCGTCACCGGAAAGGTAACCACTCTACTGACCTCTAACACCACTGTTACTGTTAAGGGCATGTGGGAAGTTTCTGGTTTAGGGCTGTTAGAAATAATACTGCTATGAATATTCTTATGTCTTTTGGAGAAAAAAAAAATGTTCTCATTTCTTCTGATTATAATTAGAAATGGAATTGCTCATTCTTTGGATATATATATATATATGATGAACTTTAAAAGATATTTTCAGTTTTCTGAAGCGAGAGAGAAAATTCCTCTAAAGAGTTGTCTTGATGAACCATGAGAGACGATGGACTCTGAAAAACAAACTGAGGGTTCTAGAGGGGAGGAGGGTGGGGGGATGGGTTAGCCTGGTGATGGGTATTAAAGAGGGCACGTTCTGCGTGGAGCACTGGGTGTTATGCACAAACAATGAATCATGGAACACTACATCAAAAACTAATGATGTAATGTATGGTGATTAACATAACAATAAAAAATTAAAAAAAAAAAGTTGTCTTAAGTGATGGGTAGGAGTCCGTTATCAGCTGTGTGTGCGCTCAGTCCCCTTCCCCAGGAACCAGTTCTTGAACATTCACTTCTTGGTCTACTCTCTTTGGTGATCTCATCCAGTTTTAGGCTTTCATTTTATTTATTTCTTTTTTAAGATTTTATTTATTTATTTGAGGGAGACAGAGAGAGAGCCCAAGCAGGGGGTGGGGGGAGGAGAGAGGGAGAGGGAGAGTCACCCGGAAGTCTGATGCCGGGCTCGATCCCAGGACTCTGAGACCATGATCTGAGCAGAAGGAAGACGCTTAACCCGCTGAGGCTCCCAGGCACCCTCTGTTTTAGGCCTTTAAATGTCTTCTGCAGGTAACATAATTCCTCAAGTTTATCCTACCTACTTATCACCTCCACTTAAATGTCTTCTGTGAATCTCAAACTCAACACGTCCTTATCTCTCCACTTCAAATTCCCCTCCCTCCACTATCTTCTTGTGTTACTCTTGCACACTCAGACTCGTCTTTGTCCACACTGACCTCCTTATTCCACAATGAATGTATAAGTATGTTCCCACTTCAGTGCCTTTATACCTGGAAGATTCTTGCAGATATCCACCCAACCGGCTACCCCACCCCATAACCTTCATCAAGTCCTTTCTCCAGTGGAAACTTCTCAGCAAGATCTTATCTAATTATTCTGTTTTCTGCTTTGTCACTCATCACCATCTAATATATATTTTACTTATTTATTTGTGTTATTGTCTATCTCCCTCTGAAATGTAAACTCTATGAGGGCAGGAATGTTGGTTCACTTTTGTATATTCCATGAGTTCAGCAACTTTGTTTTTGCTGTATCCCAAACGCCAATAAGAGAGTCTGGTGCACAGTAGTCATACAATAAATATATGCCAAATGAATAATGAACTTACTGAAATCTTATTTGGCAATCTGTTAATAAATAGCCTGAAATTAGATATAACATTATAAACAGAGTCTTACAAGTAGCCCACAAAAAGAAACTATAATCTTCTATCTTATGTATTCTCTCTTATATATGTGAAGCCTTCTCACAGATAACACAAAATAGCTTTGAACAGTTGTTTCATTTATAGACTTTCTGAATCTTTGGGTTTTGTTTTTTTTTTTAAAGATTTTTATTTATTTGAGAGAGAGAGAGCACATGAGATGGGGGGAGGGTCAGAGGGAGAAGCAGACTCCCTGCCGAGCAGGGAGCCCAATGTGGGAGTCGATCCAGGGACTCCAGGATCATGACCTGAGCCGAAGGCAGTCGCTTAACCAACTGAGCCACCCAGGCGCCCTGAATCTTTGGGTTTTTATGTGCTGCAACGTTTCTCAGTATCTTGCTTGAGTCAAAATAGGCAATGGAGAATTTTACCCACTATACAAGATCAGCCTGAAATTCATTCCATATTTTACTCTCTCTCCCTATTTTAGTAAACTCTAGTACAAGATATACAATGCATTTTCCATGTCCTAAGAATTTTAAAAATCTAAGGAAAGGAATAACAAGAAATATTTTATTCACTACAAAACAAAACAACAAACTAAAGTACAGATAGAGTGGCATATACATGAGTGAAGGGTATTCTGTACAAGCTTCACTAAAATTCTAATTCTTCCATCTTCTACTCTTGGATAAAGAAAAAGAGCTATCAGTGAGAGTAACTCATTCTTAAATTTCTTTCCAGTAAACTGTATATGAATCCATAGGCTGTACAAAAGTTTGTAAGCATTTACTTTCTACTTATTTCAATTTTTAATAATGGAAGTGATATACGATTATGATGCATAAAAAAAGAACGTACAGGAGTGCCTGGGTAACTCAGTCGGTTAAGCGTCCAACTCTTGATTTCAGCTCAGGTCATGGTCTCGGGGTGGTAGGACTAAGCCCCACGTTGGGCTCTGTGCTGGGCACAGAGTCTTCCTGGGATTCTCTTTCCCTCTACCCCTCCCTCTGCTTGTGTGTGCTCTCTCTCTAAAGTAAATGAATTAATCTTGAAGAAAAAAAAAAAGAACCTACAGAGTAAAGAGTTAGCCTCATCACTACCACCCTATTTCTTTCTTCATATGTCACTACTGTTAAGTATGTAGTATATTCCCTCTCCTTCTATACATTTGTATGCATGTGCATGTGTGTATACCTAAGTTTGTAGTATGTATTTACAGCATGCCTGGTATGACCTTATTTCCCTTGTGTAACTCTTGCTATATGTGTCTAGATATATTTGGATTTTAAAAAATGGGATGATATGAATACTATATGACCATGTTTTACTAGTAGCATTATATTCTAGAGAGTTTCTCTGTATATAAAGGTCTACCCATTTTTTTTAACGGCTGCCCAGTATTCCTTAATATGAATACGCTGTATTTTATTTAACCATTTGCTATTGGGGAATATTTCAATTGTTTACAGTGTCTTGCTATTGTCAGAATAGTACAGTGAACCCTGGTGTATGACTTGTGCATAAGTTGTAAATATTTCTTTAGGTCAGTAGTTCTGAGTGTGGGTCTGGAGCCCTTAATATGTTATTTGCCTTTGTACTTGTGTCAATATTTACACTTATGAGGCAAAAGCAATAATTAATAAGCCAGTTTGCAGTTCAGAACAAGTCAAGGCACCAAAATGAACTAGAGTCATTATATCCTTCTCTACCATGCATCAAACGCTGACACTTTTATAATGAAAAAATAATTTATAATAGACTGCATCTAATCCAAAGTTAAAATCGGTGGTTCTGAATTCATATACAAATTGTTAATTTCCGTTCAAATTAAAATTCTTTTGACACATATCTCATATGCCAATATTCCTAAATTATACTCATAGATAAGTACATTCCAAGTCATCTAAATAAGTTGATTTGGGCGCTGTGGTAGACAGCCTGCCAATATGGCTGCCAACAATTCTTCCCAACCAACCCTTTAAGCACAGACCACTCCTCACGTCAAGAGTAGATTCTATTTCCTCTCCATTTGAATATGAGCTGTATTGTGACTTGTTCTAATAATAGAATACCGTGGAGGAGACATTCTAGGACTTCTGAGCCCAGGCTTTGAGAGAACTGGCAGCTTTTGTTTTTTCCTCTTAGATTAATTATCTCAGGCTAAACTACTGAATGAAGAGAAGCCCTAAGAAATGACCATCCATCATGTATGGTCCAGCCACTGTTGAGCTTCCAGCTGAACACAGCAGAACGAATACCTTCGTCTTTTTTTTTCTTTTTTGAAAAGTACTTGTTAGCATTTAATGAACCCCCACCCATGTGGCTTCAAGCTACTAGAACGCAGGCGGTCCCCACACCCTTAATCTTCTCCTCTGCTCTTCTACTGAAGAATTTGGACTTCATGATGACAGGCTGTTTTGGGACTTTTCCCTTCCCCAAAAACTCTGTAGTAGCCTGGTCGCGCCACATCAATGATAGGAGCAGCTCCCGTCTTGTTTCTGCAGCATTCACCTGTGTCTGCTCACTGACTAAGGTTCACAGTTTATCAAAGTTGACAGTTGGGCAGAAGCTCTGGTTCCTCTTTAAGTGGTCATGTCTCATACCAACTTCTCCAAAGTAACCTGGGTGATAGTTGTCCAAGTTGATCCTGTGGTGATGCATGCCACCAGCATTACCCCGGCCTCCTGGGTGCTTCCAGTGCTTGCCCATGCGGCCATGGCCATGGCTCACGTGGCCCTAAAGTTTCCAGGTCCTCCTCAGTCTGGATGGCATGCCAGCAGCCAAGAACACCTTCATTTTATGCATTGTGAAGAAGAAAAGCTTCCCAGCTGAACTCAGTCTACCCTCAAGATCATAGATAAAATCATAAATTGTTACTGTTTTAGGTCACTGGGTTGTTGTTTTTTAATTATTCGGCAACTGAAAACTAACTTTTTCAAAGTAAGCAATGAATAACTGACCATTCAACCATTATATTTGGATATGTGACACTAAGCCACATGAAGTTTTTTTCAGAGGAAGGCATTTTTTGGTTATTTTTATTTTGATATAAACTCACAGAAAAGTTGTAAGAATAGGATGAGGGACTTCCATATACCCTTTACATTTTATCTTTGCTCTATCATTCTCTGTCACTCTTTATCTGTCTCCGTGTCGCCTTCTCTGTCATTCTTCTTTACATTTGAAAATAAGCTAGAAACATCATATCCCTTTATTCCTGAACATTTCAGTGAGTATTTCTAAGAACAAAGATATTTACTTACACAAACACAGCACAATTATCAAATTTAACTTTGATAAAACTATTACCTGATAGGTAATCTCTACTTCAAATTCTGTCCATTTTCCCAGTAATATCCTTTATGGCTACTACCTTCCCTCTCCCCTGGGTTGAGGATACAATCCAGGGTCATGTATTTATTACATGACAGTTGTCATAACCTTTTCATTTCCTTTAATATAGAAGAGTTTCTTAGCCTTTCTTTGTGTTTCTTGACCTTGAAAATTTTAAAGAATACAGGCCAGTTATTTTGTAGAATGTCTCCCAAATTGGGTTTGTCTGTTGTTTCCTTATGATTAGACTCAAGTTGTGCATTTTTGGCAGAAATATAACCATAGTGATTTGGCGGCCTTCACTGTGCATTATATCAAAAGGCACATGATGTTGGTTTATTCCAAGGCCAGGTTATCTTTGAGTACTTTGTTAAGGTAGTGTCTGCTATGTTTCTCTACTGGGAAGTTACTGTCTTTCTTTTGTCTTTCATAAGTAATTTGTGGGGAAAAACTTGGAGACTATGCACTTATCCTGTACTTATCAAACATTCACTCAGTGGTTTTAGCATAAACTCATAAGAAAAGGAATATTTTGAACAAATATATAATAATAATTAACTATTAAGAAACTTCTTGAAGCAGAATGTTAATTGTATTTTAACTATAAACAAATCAAAAATGTATGGCTTCAATTTTCTGTAAAATATGTTTACTTAAAATTCAGTGGAAATGTGCTTCACAAAATGAGTTTTAAGGCTTTTTGAATGAAATGTATTTTCAAAAAACAGATTGATATATTCAGAAATTAAAAAATAAGTGTTACCCAACCCTACTAAAAATTTTATAACATATCTTCCAATCCATTTAACAACCAAAAAAAAAAAAAAGCAAAAGAAATGTTAGTATATATAATACACATAGTTTAACCTGAATCTACAACAAAATTAAAAAACTGTTATATCGCAACTGGAAAAAAATGCAGATTTTGTATTTAATTAACATTTATTGAAAGTCTGTTACCTGCTAAGCATTGTGATACATAATCCCATCCATACTAAGCATCTTATTTTATTATTATCACAATTCTATAGAGTAGTTGCATTATGTCTCTTTTTTTACATCAGAGAACCTTCAAGAGGTTTATTTACTTAGCAAATCATGACTACCCTGTGTCAGGTTCGGTATTAAGCATTGAGAATACAATATGGAATAAGGTGGAAATGGCTCTCTTATAATCTAGGCAAGACAGACAAGTAAACAACCAATTATAACATTCTGTGCCTAATGTTTAACAAATGGTATGATTGAGCTCTGAGCGGTGTACTAAGAGAGGCCCATAAAGCAGACGCAGGTGTTATGACAGACTGTGGACGGAATTTATGATTAGGTGGAGAAATGAAACATGAGCAGGAGCTACGTGTAAGGTGTGGGTTGGTAGTGGTGGAGGGAGGGTGCAAATATCCCTGAAACATTTTCAAGGGTCCCGTGGCTATGCAGGGATTTTCATTACAATGGGAACACAGAGCCTGGGCAGATGACAAACAATGCTGCTAGCCGAAGTAAATAGGCTTAAGGCTAAGTGAAGTAAGAGTTCCTTGAGGACTGTACTCTACCCACCACTTGATTAACATCGCTCAAAGATCACTCCTATCACTTCGAGAAGGTTTTGACATAGTTTACATTGAATTTAGTTTGTTCATTTCAGGATCAAAGGATGGCAAAGTTTCTGCTGCATCCAGGACATTATGAATCACTAAAATGCTGAAACCACTTTTATCAGTTTATTCTGGTCCTGGCCAGAAGTCACTAACCTAGCTGAAACATCAAATACCAAGGTTATTTGGCGGAAAATAAATAATAGATTATATTAATACAAACAGGGATTAGATAATGAGAAAAACTTCTTAGTTCTACAGCATATTGAATGGTTTATCTGTAAATCAAAATGAAGCAAATAAATTGCTTTAAAAGAAGATCACTCTTTTAGGTGTTGTTAATACTCCCATAAATTATAAATTAGGATAAATAAGACAAGAGCTCTGTATTACAGAATTAAATTATTTTATAATTCTGACAGAGAACTGAATACTTTTTTTTTTTTAAGATTTATGTATTTGAGAGAACACATGCAGGAGCGGGGGAAGCGGGTGGAGGGTCAGAGGGAGAGGGAGAGAAGCAGATTCATCGCTGAGTCTGGTGGGGGTGGGGAACGACTCCATGCAGAGCTCCAAATGGGGCTTGACAAGGGGCTGGAGCACAAGGCTTGACATCAAGACCTAAGCGGAAATCAGTAATGGGAGGCGCAAAGGACAGAGCCACCCAGGGGCCCTTCTAACATAATATCGGTCACATTTGTTGAGCATTTACTATGCATAGTAACTGAATTCTAAATTTTTTACATCTTTACATCTTCACGTATAAGTCAAATATCAAAAATTGCCCCAAATCTCCCTTACAGAACTGGTATGTCGTATTTGCATTGTTTTATGTTCTTAAAAACCATTGTGTATACTGAACCACAACTGCCCTCAAGGGTTCTGAAGAGGGATTTTTGGACCTATATAATTAACATGCCAATTAATAATTAATTGCTGTATTAATAATTAACTTAGTATACCCATTAAAATTAATATTTGAATTAAAATGAATATTTTAATGAACATTTGAATCCAGTTATCAGTATAAAGAAATTGTAGAATGTCAAATAAGATTCAATTACCACAAGTTTTAGAAAGAATTATTTATTCCTGTTGGACTCTGCCTAAAATAAAGGTGGCTGCTCTCTTACGCAGTATCTATGGATTATGGTCTAGAATTTAGTGTATCTGGAATATGAAACACTGAATAGAACTTATCACTGTCAAGGATGTGACTGGGGATGCAGTTTGAATCTTTTGTCTTTATTTTAATAAGTTATATAGCAATGAGCAAATTACCAAGCATCCCAAGTCCTAATTTTCTTTTCTGTAATATTGTGATGATAATTTATGACTCTGGGTTATTGTGAGAATTGAGTAATAAGATAATGTGGGTCTTTATACCTAACCTCTTAGTAAGCATGTAGTAGATGGTAGCTATTATTAAGCCAAATAATTATACATAGGGATAATATTTTCCTATCAAAGCTGACAATATGGATTAGGTAAATGTCTCCATTAAGGGTAAATATGCTGAAATATTTAAGAAGCATACCTAACATGAAAAATGTCTCTCAGTGCTAAAGCACTTAGTGCTAAAGCAGGTAACAATCCCTACAATTGTGGAGCTTATCTTCTGGAATGCTGAGTTGGGGAATGACTTTTAAACAAGCAAACTGAGGGGGCACCTGGGAGGCTCAGCTGGTTAGGCATCTGCCTTCAGCTCAGGTCATGATCTCAGGACCCTGAGATCGAGCTCCGCATCAGGCTCTCTGCTCACTGGGGAGTCTGCTTCTCCCTCTCACTCTCCCTCTGTGCTCTCTCTCTGTCTCAAATAAAATATTTAAAAAATAAAACATAAATTATAAACAAGCAAATTGAAATAAACATTAGAAGATGATATATGCTATGGGGGGAATCAAGGAAAAGAGTAGAACTGGCTTTAAACAGATTATGGAGGAGTGGGAAGGCATGAGTTACAAAGGTAAAAAGGTGGTAAATATAGGCTGAATTAAGATAGTGATATTTGGGGCACCTGGGTGGCTCAGTTGGTTAATCGACTGCCTTCGGCTCAGGTCATGATCCTGGAGTCCCAGGATCGAGTCCCACATCGGGCTCCCTGCTAAGCAGGGAGTCTGCTTCTCCCTCTAAACCTCTTCCCTCTCATGCTCTCTCTCATTCTCTCTCTCTCTCAAATAAATAAATAAAATCTTTAAAAAAAAAAAGATAGTGATATTTGATCTGAGACTTGAAGTAGGTAAGGGCCAAGTAGATATCTGCAGAAAGAGTATTTCAGGCAAGGAACTTCTAGGGCAAAGGCCCTCAGGCAAGAGCTGTGTGCTAGGATGGGTAAAGCCCTAGGCTTGCTTGGAGCTCTGAGATGGCAAGGGGAAAGGGGTTGGGGTGGAGGGACAGAACAGAGGGACACAGAAACAGGAGAATGGTGGAGAGTAAGAACCATGTAGGGCATTCTAAGCACTCAGATGGTTTCTCCAAGTGTTATGGACTTCCACTTAAAATATTCTGGCCCAGGGACCAGCAAACTTTCCCTGTGAAAGTCCAGATTGTAAATATTTTAAACGTTATAGTCCAAATGATCTCTGTTGCACCTATTGAACTTAGTCCCTATGGCATGAAAGTCATAGGCAATATGGAAACAAATGAGCATGATTCGGTTTCAATAAACTTTAGGAAAAAAAAAGGCAGTAGGCCACATTTTGCCTAATGGCCATGGTTTTTCAATCTCTGCTTTGGCCTAACTTACGGACACTGAGTTTTTGTCTCTGTTTTTTTCAAGAA